TCAGCGCGTTCTTTCATGTAGGCGTGGCCCGAGCGGCCCGAACGGCCGCCGCGGCGTTTCTTTTGTGGAGGCGGCGCCGCGTGCATCGCCGCGGTAGCCGAGGCGGCCGCGGGCGCGGCCGCCGCCTCCGCTGGCCTCGCCTCGTCCATTCGGCGGAATCAGCGGGGCCCCCCGCCGACCGACCTGGCCGCCGCCGGCGCGGGCGGCGCCGGCTCGTGCGAAGTTCCCACAAGCGCGCGTCGAGCTCTACATTGCAACGCTGGCTGGGCACGTTGCAAGGACTTGCAAGGATGGCCTGAAACGCGTGAGGGGAGCGCCCCCGTGCCGACATGGGCGCGTTGTGCGTGGGGGCGCCGCGCGCGCGGGGTCTGCGTTGCCCCATGACACGGTACATGCGCGACAAGCAATGTTACGTTGGATACCAACACCGATTAGTGCTCACCTCAATTTCCAAACCAGCATGGCGACTTTCCCAATGTGGACACGGCAGAACTCCTAGGAGTTCTGCACTGACCAATCAGTAAGTCGCCACGTTGGTTTGGAAACTCAAGTGGCCCATTTAGCGGTGGCCGCTTGCATTTCCAAAATAGCATGGCTTCTTGCGCACGTGCCATGCCATGGGGCATGGGGCAACGCAAACACCGCGCGCGCGAGCGTTGACCGCGGTCGAAAAGTCACCATGTCGGCATGGAAACACAAGCGAGCACTTAGCGGTGACCGCTCGGACGTCTGTTTTAACATGATTTTGTGCGCATGCGCCGTGCCATGGGTCAACACAGACCACGCGCGCGCGAGGAGTTCTGCATGGGTGGCAATCGAAAAGTCGCCACGATGGCTTGGCAACTCAAACGCACACGCGAGCGATGGCCAATTGGATTTCCAACGTCGCATGGCTTCTTGCGCAAGTACCGTGCCGTCAGTCGATACAGGCTCCGCGCGCACGCGCGCGACCGCCAGGGTTGTGGCTAGATTTCTCATGCACGTCAGGCGATGTTAACTCAAAAACCCAATGGTGATAACCCAATGTAAAATTCCATTCTCGGATCAGAGAAGGCGATCATCTGAACGTGGAACATGCCAACCTCACAACTCAATGGTTCTCCCGCGCGCGCCGCCGACCACCAACGCGCTTGCGCGCGTTTCCATGCAATGGGGGCGATGTTAACCCCAAAACCCAATTTCGAAAACCCCATGTAAAATTTCGTTCTCAGATCAGAAGAGGAGATTACTTGAATGTGCAATACACGAGTCTGACAATTCGATGATCCTTCCGCGCGCGCGCGCGCCCGCCCTACAAACGACGGATTTGCATGCGCGTCAATTCAATGGAAGCGATGTTAACTCGAAAACCCAATGGCGAAAACCCAATGTAAAATTTCATTCCCAGAGCAGAAGAGGCGGTCATCTGAATGTGAAATTAAAAAAAAAAGTCTGAATATGCAGTTGCCTTTATGCGCGCGCGACCGCCGACGGATTTGCCTGCATTTCCATGAATGGAAGCGATGTTAACTCAAAAACCCAATGGTGAAAACCCAATGTAAAATTTCATTCTCAGACCAGACGAGGCGATCATCTGAACGTGGAATATAAGAGCCCAAGCATTCAGCAATCGTTCCGCGCCCGCCCGCAACTGCCGACGGATTTGTATGACCTTCCATTCAATGGAAGCGGTGTTTAACTCAAAAACCGAATGGTGAAAACCCAATGTAAAAAATCATTCTCAGATCACCAGGAGGCGATCATCTGAATTTGAAATATACAGATCTGACGCAACTGCGATTCCGCGCGCGCGACCGCCGACGGATTTGCGTGCATTTCCACAGAATGGAAGCGATGTTAACTCAAAAACCCAATGGTGAAAACCCAATGTAAAATTTCATTCTCAGATCACAAGAGGCGATTCTATGAATGTGAAATGTAGCAGTTTCCATATTGAATGATCTTCACGCGCGCGCGCGCGGGCGCGACCGCCAACGGATGTGTATGCATTTCCATACAATGGCAGCGATGTTAACTCAAAAACCCAATGTTGAAAACCCAATGTAAAATTTCATTCTCAGATCACACGAGGCGATCATAGGAATGTGAAATATAGCAGTTTCCATATTCAATGATCCTCACGCGCGCGCGCGCGGGCGCGACCGCCAACGGATTTGTATGCATTTTCATACAATGGGAGCGATGTTAACTCAAAAACCAAATGGTGAAAACCCAATGTATAATTTCATTCTCAGATCAAAACAGGAGATCCTACGATTGTGAAATATACAAGCTTGTTTATTCCATGATCCACACACGCGCGCGCGCGTGCAGACCATTGAATATCAAAAAAGATATTTCGAATTTAGATGACCTCCTCTTCTGATCTGAGAATGAATTTTTACATTGGGTTTTCACCACTCGGTTTTTGAGTTAACATCGCTTCCATTCTATGGGCATGCATACTAATCAGTTGGCGGTCGCGCCCGCGCGCGCGCGCGTGAGGACCATTGCGGACCATTGCATATGCAAATTGTTATATTTCACATTCATATAATCGCCTCTTTGTGATCTGAGAATGAAGTTTTACATTGGGTTTTCACCATTGGGTTTTTGAGTTAACATCGCTGCAATTGTATGGAAATGCATGCACATCCGCTGGCGGTCGCGCCCGCGCGCGCGCGTGAAGATCACTGAATATGAAAACTGCTACATTTCACATTCATATAATCGCCTCTTGCGATCAGAGAATGAAGTTTTACATTGGGTTTTCACCATTCGGTCTTTGGAATGAACATCGTTTTGATTGCGTTGAAGTGCAAGTTAAGTGCGCAGGCGCGCGCACAACGCGCGTGCGGAAGGACCTGTCAGCATGCCCTCTTCTGATCAGATAATGAAATTTTACATTTGATTTTCACCATTGGATTGTTGAATTGTACTTGCTTCATTTGCATAAAATTGCAAGCAACTGCGGTGCTTGTCGCGCGCGCGCGCAAGGTCTGCGCTGCCCCTGGGCATGGCACGTGCGCGGTACGCCATGTGAATTTGAAAATCCAATCGGTGAGAAGATAGTCGGGCATTGGCCCTGAGAGGCCTTTGACTCTGAAGGCGACGGGTTTTTTCATGCGGATGGGCAGCGAGCTTCCTGAAATATAAGTTGACCCGTTTGGGCCCTCGGAGGCCCTGGACCCTCAAGCGGTGGAAAGGCTGGGGAGGTTGCGGGGAGTGGCATTGCGCGGATTGGCCGAAGGCCTCTGAGATTCTAGTTCGTCTCCATTGTTTGGGCCCTGGGGGGGGAGAGGCGTGGAGGGGTGGGGGGTGGGGGCCTGGGCCCTCAGAGGGGGGAAAGCCACGTGGATGGACAAGGCCTCAGAGAATGTGGTGAGCCCTGAGAAGCTCTAGACCCCCTGAGCGGGGGCAGAGGGGATGGGGGAGGGAGGCGTGGCCACGCGAATAGACCGAATGCATCTCTGGAACCAGGGGGGCTAAGTGAGGCACTGGACCCAAAGGGGTTGATGCACTTTTGGCAACGATGGCACGACGACAACGACGACTGAGACTCTGAAACTCTGAAGGGCTCTGAACTTGTCAGAGAGGGCCCCGCGAGGGCCCCTATAGAGTTCCTCAGCGATCTGGGGCCAGTCTTGTTGTGGAATGTATTTTGCGAAGTCGGCAACATCTGAACCCCCTGGGGCCCGCTTGGCGACCTCTTGGGCCGCGTATAAGGCCTATCGATTCGACCGACCCCTTCCCCCGCCCCTCGTCTTTCGCCTCCGTGGCCGCTGGTCCTGCTCCCGCGTGTCGGCGGGGAGCCTGTCCACGCACGTGGCGTGGATTCTCCTCTCGGGGGGGGGGGGGGGGGGGGGGGGGGGGGGGGGGAAGACAGAGAGAGAGAGAGAGAGAGAGAGAGAGAGAGAGAGAGAGAGAGAGAGAGAGAGAGAAGAGAGAGAGAGAGAGAGAGAGAGAGAGAGAGAGGAGAGAGAGAGAGAGAGAGAGAGAGAGAGAGAGAGAGAGAGAGAGAGCCGAGATTGACGCGCTGGGACATGAGGCGAGGGGCGGCGAGAGCCCAGAGCAGGAATGGCAACGAGGAAGCATGCAATGAGGAGGAGGGCGGGCAGTCTGATCGCGGGCCCAGGCCGTGACACGGGAGCGCATCCGACTGTTCGCGTGCCTCTCTCGCACGCTTCGTCGACACCATCGCCCCTGCCACTCCCTCGCCTCATCTCCTCAGCGTCGCCCCGCCCTACCCCCTCCCCCCAAACCATTCCCCCTGCGAGTCCTCTGGTCGCGCAGCGAGGTCGACGCTCTGAACCTGTAGTCGAATCGCCAGGCCCCCTTCAGGATCTTCGCGCCGCAGACCCAGCACAGCGCCTGAGCCGACGGGGATTTCTCGAAACCCTTGATGCCCTTGGACAGCACCCCGAACGCTGGAGCAGGACCTGCAGGCACATGAGGGACCACTGGGGGCGCACCAGGTCCATCATCAGGAGGTGGCGGAACCGGAACGCCAGGGGCGACAGGTGCAGCAGGGCCAGGGCCAGGACCAGGCGCCTGCGCAGGCTGGGGGGGAGGCGGGCGGGGTGCGGAGGGGTCGCAGAAGACGAAGACCAGGGCCCCCCAGGGCCAGGGTTCCGCGCGGCAGGGGGGCCGCGGCACGCGGCATGCCCATGGGCGGGGGCGAGGGGACTGGAAGGTGGAGGAGGACAAGACCAACAAAAACAAACAAAACAAACAAAGGTGGACGGCGGTGGAGCGGAGGGCGAGGAGGGCAAGGGGAGGGGCTGGGGCGCGGGAGGAAGAGGATCGAGAGCCGACGGGAGGATGGGAAGTTTCGGCGACTACACGACCAAAGCGACGCCAAGACTCCAGCCAGTTTTCACTCGACACCCTGTTTCAGCGGGCGGGGAGAACGAGACAATGACATGAGGAGGTGAGGAGCGAGGGCGGTGAGTCGGCGGCAGACGGAGATGGGCAGCAGGCAGGAGTTTGATGATCAGGGGCCTCGTCGCTGCTAGTAGAGCTGCCCTCGTCGAAATCGCTGCCCATGTCGGGGGCGGCCTCGTCCATGCCCTCTGGGTCAGACTCGTCGCTGTGCGGCCCTGGCTCAGCGGCAGCGTGCTCACCGTCGCCGTGGCCGCTGTGGTGACCATGGTCATCGGAACCAGCTGCGGCGGCCGTCGCCTTCTGAGCTACGACCACTTTCTTCGGCTTGATGCCGAAAGGCAGCACATCATTTTTTTCCCGATGCGGCTTCTCGACCTCGGCCACCAGCAACGACTCGTTCATAACCAGGACTCGCTTCTCGAAGATCAACATGTCAGCTTCGGGGTCCGCGTCGCCTCGCCATGCAATCACCGATGCATGGTGGATCTCTGACGCCGATACGCCAAGTGCGATGGCGCTGTCCAAGAGAACGTTCCGAAAGACGAGATGCCAAGTACGGGTAACTGCACGCCCGCGACCGTCAACAGCCACAGTAGCGGCGCGATCGAGGTCGCGACCAGGCGGCGCGCGCGCGTTCAGGAAGTACGCCGCCTCGCCTTTCCCGAACAACCTGCAATAGAGTACGCGCTGCCCTGCCCCCTCGGCTCCTGGAACAAAGATGTGCACGGGCAAGGGGCCAGCGTGAATCAGGCCAAGCCTCGCCAAAGCAGCGTAGAAGTTCTTGGGCGACGTGCCGCATTGGTCGACCACGTCGTCTGTCTCGCAAAGGCCGCCGTACTTCATGCAGCACACTTCGTCGGCTGGCATCGGCCCAGACGCCGTCAGCACGCGGGGGTCGTACGAGAAGGACGCGCACGCCGAAGCCTCAACTCGTTCGTCCGCCCAGTCAACCACGAAGTCGGGCCGCAAGGCAGAACTCATGCAAGCAATCCCTGCGCCGCACTTCCACACGTTGTGTCCCTCCATCTCGCGCATGCTGCATAGCGCTGCTTCCCGCCTAACCTTCCGACGGGCTTCTTCCCGAGATGGCAGGGCCCAAGGCGTGGCAGTTGCTCGGTCGACGTATTCCTTGAACGAAATCCCGTCGCACCCATCGACCTTTGCTTGTTCTGATTGGGCAAGGCCTTCGTAGTAAGCCGTCTGAGCTGGGCTGCGTCGCCTCCAGCGCTCCGAAACAGAAACGAGCCTCTCGGCGGAAGAGCCCGCGGCGACTGCATCTGGCTCACCATTTCCCCTCTCAAAGTTGTGACTGATGAACATGTCGTAGGCCCTGACCTTCCTCTTCTTCCTGAACGCGCTGCCCCAGTGGCGCCTCTTCCGCTTGAGCGGGTTCTTGCCTTTCAGATTCTTGGAGGTCTTGAAAGCGTGCAGGACCTGGTTGTACCGCCTAACGTTCTTCTCGCCGACGCACTCTGTAATGCATCGCACTGTCAGGTTGCGAGCGTCTCGGCGGATGGCGGCAGCGTAAGTTGTGGCTCCGAGGGTTCTCAGCTGAAGTGCGCGCCCGCGTCGCTTCCGAGCTTCCTGTCCCAACAGATGTTTCCGCTCGACCTTGGTAGACGTAACCCTCAGGACGCCCAGCAGGCGTCGAAGCACACGATGAGCTCTCCGAGAAGTGGATCGCTCGCGAAGCCGCCTCAGCCAAACTCGGCTAAAGCATGGGTCCACACACTTTGCACACGCTGTAGCCTGCGCGTGCACAACGTTCAACTCAGTCGATATAGTGTCGAAGTCCCAGATGTGGTCCCTCACGGACCGCAAGATTCTGAACGCGGGCTGGTCGTACGGGCGAACCAGCCGCCGCCAAGTGTCCACGATCGCGACACACATCCGCCGAGACGCCTCGCGGCAGACGAGCTGAGCAAACCGAGGAGGAACAGTTGAAGGGCGGGAGGAGAAGGAGGAGAAGAGAAGGGGCGTAGAGGAGAGAGGAAAACAGACCCGTAGGAGGAGGAGGGGGAAAGGGAGGAGGAGGGAGGAGGCGCAAGGAGATGGGAGGCCCCGCAGCCCCGCAGCCCGCCGATCGAATGGATTCAAAGAAGGCCCAGGTCCCCAAGACCCTGGAGTCCAGGAAGGCACCTCGCAGTGAATGGGCCCCTGATCAGGCCTTTCTCCTCCGCGCCCTCGTCATCATCCCTCCGCCTCCTTCTAACTCTCGCACCCGACACCATCTCCACCATCTCCCCCCCCTCCCACCTCCCCTCAGCTTGCAAGGATCAAGGCAAAGCGTTAGCGCATATCGGCCTCGACCTTGCCCGTCGGGAGGCCCACGAGCTCGTGCCAGGCGTCGCGCCTGAAGCTGGTGACCATTGCAGAATACGTGGCGATGACGTCCATGCCCTTGGAGCCGCTCAAGATGCCGAGGTTCCTGGATATGGCATCGCGCTCGGCCACCTCAAAATCCTGGGGCGGCGTCCAGGACTGAGATCCATCAGGTGGTGTCGATAATAAGGCAAATGCGCACTTTGTTGCGGCTGCCTCAGCAGCCAACGCAGAGTTCAAATACATCTGCAAGGGCTTCGCCAATATAACAGCCTGCTCAATGCTGCGCCCGCCAGGGTCTGCGTCAAAGAACTGGATTGTGTGACCACCCCTGATGCTCTGTTTCGCCATGTTCACTCTCATGTCCTCGTTCGCCTGCAGGTTGTCACTCAGGTACTTCTCTGCCGCCTCCACGCTGCGCTGCGTAAACAATGGCCGAAGACCCCTCGCGAGGAGATCGTGCTGCCGTCGACCGCGCAGGGCCCACGCTGCAGCGGACTCAAATCCGCCGACCCTCTGCGGGTCTCTAGGCGCGCGATGTACTTTCCGCAGCACCTATGCATGTCTATGAGAACCTCAGGGTTGCAACCAACAAGGGGGGGCAGCGGCATTTGCTGTCGAGTCGACCTCTCTGATCCCTTCCAGCGGTAAAGAAGAGGAGTATCGAGCTTCCCGCACACCGACAAAACAATCAAATCCGTGACCTTCTTCAAAGAATCATCGGGGCTACTGCACTTCAGTGGGCATCCACCTTCCCCTAAGCAATAGTGATATATGTTATGCTGGTCGTTCCAATCCCCATTGCCCGCCGCCAAAACCAGCAACTCCTGATCAAGACTGAAATCTCGAAGTGCTCGCGAAGCCTCCATGACTCGAAGGGACTGGCGGTGCCACTCGGCGGCGTCAGCTGGCATGGATTCCACAAGTGCGTACTGGAAGCACCTCGATATGATATCTCGGACGTTCTCTTCGAATTTGGTGCTGATGCGATGTGATTCCATCAAATGGCCCAACTTGACTAGCTTCGACGGCAAACCGTTGATACTGTGCAGTGGTTTCATCGCAAGCACACAAGAATGCCCAACACAACAAAGAGACAGAAGCGTGGTTCCGTAGTTCATGCTGTCGGTAGTAGCGTGCTGCACCTTCAGCACCGCTTGCTCCATTGCTACAATGTTGTTGTTCAAGCCAAGGTTGTCTTTGTTCATCACGATGACCTTCCATGAAACGCCGTCCAATATCTTGCGAAGCTCGTATTCGGGATCCACGGATGAGCCAGCGCCAATAGCAGACATCGCCGACCACTTCGCCCAGCGTTCCCGAATAGTAGCAGCATTTCCCTTGGGGAGAGGCTGCGCGGGGCTAGCCACTTCGGCTCCGCACCAAAACTGCATGCCGTCAACGTGGCGCTCGACGAATATAGTTTCACACAAATTGAGTACTGTCTTGTGCACACGGCCACCGCGCTGCTTTTGTTGTAAGGCAAGGGTCTTGGATAACGTCTCGAGCGCATTGGACTCTGATGCCTTCTGTCTCGTCACCCACATGCTGGCGTCATCAAATACATTCACCGCTATGACCGATGCACAGTCTAGATCATGACAACCTCGATCCAAGGTCCCACTGATCATGGAGGCTAAGCCTCTCGCTTGATGCACAATGTGGGATACCAATGCCCTGCGAAGCCTGCAAGCAGCAACCCTGTCGGTCTTATGGGCGAGGGTCACAGCATGAACCTCGCTGCCAACGATGACGTGATCCAACTGCGCGGCTGGATTGGCATCGTGTCCCCGAGTCAGTGCTTCCGATGTCATGCGGGATTCATCAGGGACCAGCGCGCGGGACAGCGTATCCAATTCGACTTCTCGTTGCCGAATGCTTTTCAGCTGCAGGTTGACTTGTCTGGTTCGGATCTCAGCCGCACTGCGATGAAAACCTCGGCTCCTGCCCCGTCCTCTGCCTCGGCCCTCGGCGCCGCGGCCCCTGCCGCGAGCGGGGGCGACAACGGCAGCAGGTGGATGCCCCACGCGAGCCGCAGCGGGCCCTGGGCCCGCGACAGGAAGCGCTACATCAGCTTCGTACAAAAAAGCAAACATCTCGAACCAAATCGGATGCGCATGGGAAAGTGCGGCGAGAACGAAAAGGAACATCAAAACACATTCTGGTACGGCACGGGCGGGGGGGGGGGCCTGAAGGACCCCCTGGAAATTATGACGGGCATTGCACTCGGAAAGCAATAAGCAATGGCCGCACGGGGCAGGGCGTGCCAAAGGCAACTCCCACGAGAAATCGCCAGACGGTCCGACATAAAACCCTCCCCCAACGATCCTACCATCATTGTGCCTCCTCGTCCTATTCGTGCCCACTCCTTCCCTTTTGGTACTCCTCCTCCTCGTCATCCCGCTTCTCGGCTTGGTTCTCCTATGCCAACGCCCTTCGGCCTCCTCGGTCGGTCACCCTGGAACTACTGCTACCAATAATTCTTTGTACAACGTCATGCGCCCCCCCCGCTTGCCCACCCCATATTTCCCTTGCGCCCTATCTCCCCGTTTGTTGCGCCCCCGCGCGGCACCCCCTTCGCGCGCATGATGTTTCGCACGCCCTCCCCCCACGTCGCATGTTATCCGTTCTGTGAGTTCCCATCCCCACCGCCGTCCGTTCTGTCAAATACTTTGTGAATAACAACGGCCACTGTTACAAACAAATATCACAGAACGTGAACGTATAGGACTTTACCCTTCGAGTCTAAACAATTGCACATACAATATCATTTCAGCGCAGCATGAGCATTACAACATGAAAAAACACACCATTGAAAACACCTTCTTGCACCGAGGCCCTGCCAACCTCCCGTTGTTATTTCAGGGAATCATTCGGGTTGGATATACAAGCAAAAAGGCACTGATCGTACGTTTTCTTGCGCGTTTTATTGGCGGTCGGGGGCCGCCTGGGCCCTGCCGTGTGTGGCCCCCGGGGATATCGCGGCCACGGCAATACTCATGGTGCGCGGATCCGGTAAACCAAGCGCCAGAACGGCAAAAAAGTTAAGCAATCGTACGTCTTAATACACAAAACTGTGTTGAATGAGGCCGCCAGGGCCGCGGCCCCGGTCCCCGGTGATTTCTCTGCCCCCCAGCAGTAACTAATGTGTATGGCGCGCGTGCCCGGTGACCGCCGACCCGCGCCCGCCGACGATCCCTGGGCGGGATTGCGTAGGAAAGGGGAGGGGCGGAGCGGGAGGGGCGAAAGCGAAGGGCAGGCGAGGGACAGAGAAAGCATGGTGAGAGGGGGAGCACACGGTGATGCGACGACTGGCGTTTTTTTTTTTTCAAGGCGTGCACCGGGCGGAGCCTCAACCTGGTTCGTGGGGGCCGGCCCTGGGCGCGCGCCTGCTTGAGGCGCAGGCGCCTATCTAAGAGATGTGCGTATAACGCCAGAAGAAGAAGAAGAAGACGTCGTGCACGTCAGAGGTGCATGGGCAAAAAAAAGTACGCGCCAACGCTAGTGCAGCCAAGCGCTGTGAAACGATGAAGCCACCCGGCGTAGCCTATGCCACGGCCAGGCGGTCTCTAAAAATCCGCCGACCCCTTGTGGGTCTCTAGGCGTGTGAGATGGTTCCCCCCCCGTAACCCCCCCCAAGGGACCCCAAACCGGAGATTTGACCCCTCCCCCGACCCCAGGCGACCCCGGACCGAACGCGTCACGGGGGAGCGGGTGGTTCCAAAACTGGCCATGAATTCACCAGAACGCTCCCCAGACGGTCCCAGGGGGCCACGATTCACCGAAATATGGCCCTGGACGCCCACGATGGCCTCCAGGCGGCCTCCGAAGCTGGCAAGGCGCCCCAAAAGGCCCCCAAGATGCGCCCCAAAAGGGTCCCAAGCAACAAAAATCTGCCCATTCCCTTCGAAAAACAAGCATTGATTAGCATGCTCGCCTATTCGGTTTTCACAACGTCCCAGACGGGCAAAAAAACCTTCAATATCGCCCCCAAACAGTCAAAGGGGCCCCCAAGAAGGGTCGAAGAGTCGAAAACAGGCTGGTAAGCTTAGGTATGTGTTACGCCTTAGGCGTTGCCATATCCCAGGCTTTGGCTCATATCGCATGAGCAAGAGAGCGAGACGAAGCATGGGATCTGGAGTATAGAGTAAGATGGGCATCGTCAATGGAAAGGATGTTTTCCGATCTCAGATGCAAGTAGTGCGCCTCGGTGAGGCACAGCCAGGCACGGCAGCAGGTACATGCTCGATTTATACCTCGCCTTTAACCTTCTCCGTTTAAAGTCGGAGGGGGAGGAGACGAGCAGGTACCGCACTTCTACATTATGCGGAAAAACAGTGCTAAGCAGCAGCGGCTGCCTACAAGGAAAGGGCGCGCGAGTAGCCTCGCTACCGGCGAGTTTCCTCGCTGCTAAAGCGCACCTGCCCGCGGGTTTCCCCGCTGGCTCGGGAGGCAGGGCCGTCCTGAGACGACCTGCCCGCCCTATACGGCGTATGTTTCTTCAGCTCGTGCTTGAAGGATTGCTGGCCGGCCATTACTTGTAGGAGCAACGCGCGGTCAATGCTACCTTTGGTATGACC